AAGAGACACTTTGCTCTGTAATTAACAGTGGTTCTCAATAGGGAATGATTTTGCTCCCCAAGGGACATTTGACAATGTCTGGAGATAGATTTTTGGTGTCACAACTGAGGAGGTACTACTGGTATGTAGTCTATGGAGACAGGGATGCTACTAAACACCCTGCAGTGCACAGGACATCCCCCAACAACAGAAAATTACTTGGATCAAAATGTCAATAGTATCCAGGTTGGGAAACCTTGTTATTCATTTAATTGCTTCTTGAGCATCATCTCCCTGTGGGATTTCTAATAGTACTAAATGGGCATATTTGAGAAGTAGGATGCGGTTTCCAATTTTCTTCCTGAAATTAGATAGAAAGCCCTGTATCAAAGCTAAGCAGGTCATTTATTGGTCTGGGTTAGGCTATACTTAGACTGAATGAAATTGATTTTTTTTTTTCTTTAGGACCAACCAGTAAATCCTTTTAGGATTCCTCCTCTTTTTTCTGCTCAGGTAGCTAGACCTGTCATTCCGAGCACACCTCAATTATATCTGCTTTGACCTTGCTGCATTCTATACCTAGATCACCCAAACTCTAATTTCCTGGGATCAGCTAAAAGTTGCAGTGTCAATGTCTGCTGATTTTTAGCAGAAATTGCAACAGAGTTTTTGGTCATAATCTTAACCGAGAGGCTAAGTGAATGGAATACACAATTTACTTAGAGTAACTTATTTTCCAAATCAGTATGACTTTTTCCCTAATATATCTCAATTCTATCTCCTTTCTCTCTCTGTTATCAGTACTTAATTCAGGTCTTCATCATCTTTTTAATGAACCATTGAAATAAACCCTTAACTGACCTCTTAGCTCTTCTGCCACTTACTTTTGCCATCTTCTTACCCTTTCTTCACCTAACCTATCTTTGTAAAGTGCTTTTTGCCTCACCTTAACCTTTTCGTGATTAAACCAATCAGTGGTTTCTCCTCACCAATAAGAATGTTTCTCAAACTCAGATTACATATGGCATGTTTGTTTGTTTGTTTGTTTCACATATGGCATGTTTTTTAAAGAGGAAACACATTATTTCATCTCAACTTGTACCACCTTAGATTAATTTATTATAAAAGCACTTACATGTGTGTAAACATAAAATCAAGTTCATTATGTTTAAAGCTAATACAATTATGAAACCAAAATATATTTTCATATTAAAAAATGAACCAAACTGTACAACAGAAGAATATTCAAATTTGCATGTTAATTCAGTTATGACAGTTAATATTGTCCTGAAACTGTAACATTGCTTTCAGTGGCCTTAAGTTCTTGTATTTTCAAATGCTTTGCTATATAATAAGCTGTGGCTTGACTCCATTTGTCTAAGTATTTGCTCTGCTCTGGCATGAACACATTACTTAAATAGAAAAGCTGCCTCCATTCTTTTCACATTAGCCCAGGACAGATAAATGTACACTAGTGCAACCAAAATGCAGAACAAAGATAACACAGGTAGTAGAAGTTGATAAGCTATACCAGCCAGGTCTCATATTATTTTCTTATGTTCCTTTTTAATATTGTGAAACTAAAAAACGCAGAATTAAGAATTGCCATTGTTAACTACAGAAAAGGCTTTGAGTGTGAGCACTGTTTTCTCTGCAGTGGGAAGCAATGACCTACGGAATTGAGTTCAAATGCCACGTTACGGCTTAGGACGTCCTCAGCGTGCTGCTGTCCTTTCCTCCTCCCTCCGGGCTCATCTGTGGGCATTTGCTGCTTCAACACTTATTACTTGGTGTTACTGAGCTCATCAGGCTGCCCGCACACGTACTATTCCAGCTCTCTGTGCTTTTGCTTTTGCTATTAGGTCTACATTTTCTTCCCCACCAGTTTTGTTTTTTTAAATTTCTTATTCATCCTTCAAGATCTAGCCAACTTGTCGTTTCCTCTAAAACCATTCCTTGAACCTCAGGTTGAAACGTACCTCTCCTCCCTGTGCTCCTCTTTGGCCTGTCTCTTCCCTTATAACAGTGCTGTGTTCATCCCCTCTCTCCACCATAAGCTACCATAAGAGTAGGGATGATAGCACTGGGACCCACCCCAGGCCCTGCCACACCACTCATCACTCCATAAATGTATAGTAAACTGAAGTGAACTGTTTTCAACTAAAGAAAGACCCATCTCTGGTAACGATGCTAGTTTTATGTTTGTTTTGTGTGTTTGTCTGTTTGTTTCCAATACTCAGAATGGAATATACTTTAAGAAAACATGATGCAGTTGAAAACTGCACTGGATTTAGAATCAGGACTTGAGTTCAAGTCTTGTCCTGACTTTTATTCTTGTGTGTAAAATGGAGGTAAATCATCACCATCTTGCACTGTTTTTGCAGATGTGCAAAATTCTGGTATGATGTCTGGCAAACAGGTGTATATATTCAATAAACATTAGTTTCCTTCCTGCATTATGGCTTTACTTCTTTTTATGGCCTTCCGTGATTTAAAATTATTATTGTTACCAGTGAAGCTTCAAATCTATATACCTCTTTATCGCAGTTAGATTGAAGTATTTGTTATTTTCCCTGAACTGAGCTTCAACATTACTGTATAAAATAGATGAGACAGTCAATCTTTGCTTTTCATCCTCATAGGATACTTCACTCCCTTTAACTATTTATATTTATTCAGAGCATATTTCTTTTTTTATTGCCACAGGCATGAGAGAACCTCTACTTTGTTCTTATTGCCTAGAGAAATCTGTCTTCTTCCATCTCTTTGTAGTCTGTTTTCATCAGAAAGCATCTACTTTGAGAAACATTTTCTTTACCTGCACTACATTACTGAATTTCCTTTTTTATGCTTTTATATGGATATTAGAATCTATAACTTCAGTTCTTTGGATAATAGGCTTAAGGCTCTTCAATAACATAAAATTTATTGTAGAAATAAGTCATGTGGAGTTCAGCGAGATGGAAAATTTCTTTAATCAGTGGGTTACTAGCTCTTACATGTGTTTTATAAACAAAAGTAGATAAAAGGCAGATATGAAGGCAACTGAGACGGATGTAGCTAATGCTGACAAGGAAAAACAAAAAAAGGAATGAAAAGACTGCAGCTTGTTTATTATAGGATGAAATGCCAACTACTAACTACAGAAGGAGTTCCTAATAGAAAATTCTTAATAATGGACACTTATTGGTACAAGCAAATTCAGACTAGATAGAAAAGAACAGATTCACAGAGGTGAGAATAGCCAAAGAATGAACTAAGCTACAAAGGGATGCAATCAGTGTCACTAGAGACAAAGTATCTGACTTTCAACTTAACGTGAGGATAGGAATAATGAACTCAGTTTGTCATAAAGCAGCAGGCATGGGTTGATGACCCACAAGAGATCCCTATTATCACAAATTATTCTCTGGTTCTGTACCTTCCTAAAGACCAAAAGCTCTGTGTGGCACAAGTGCTTTTGTATTGGATTAAGGCTGCACCTGTCATACTCTGATCCTTTTCACCTTCAACCAGCTCTCTGAATTCAATTCAAATTAAAACTAGTGCCTTTCGGTGGAGAGATTCATGACTAACAGAAAAAAAAAAAAAAACTTTGAGTGTTTGGAACCTCAGAGGAAATGCATTTGGTTCTTTTTTTGTCCTGTTTGTCACAATCATGAAGAGTACCACTTTACCATCTGGTAGGAAATAAAAGAGAACCTTAGGGTCTTGTTTTCTAAGTTGGGAATAAAATCATTTCAGTTGGCAAATCTCAGTGAACAGTTATAAGTTTTCAAGTACTGACCTCAGGCCCTTTTGTAGCTTTGTTGCCTGCATTTGGGCCACAGTTAACATATGTCATTGCTGGAGACTGAGCACTGTTTGACAGCCTGCACAAAGAAGAGGAATTGACAGAACTCATCCATGTTTTTCTGCTTCGAGATCTCTTGCTCAGTATAACTGTTTGTTTAAAAAATATAAATTAGGGCTATTAGGATATGTGCGTCTGATTTCATGATTTGAGGCTTACTCTCAGTTGGTTTTAACTTCTTATGTGGATACCAGACTTGATTCATATCTCAGATTGGTTCAGAAATGTTCATTCTACACTTTTGTGTCATCTACTGTGTATGCAAAATACATCCTTTGCTCTTGAAGATTTTTCAGACTATTGGAGGAGAATGTAAAGATAATTCCTCAAGAGAATGACAAGACAAGCCACAGGCTGGAAGCAAATATTTGCAAAAGGCATATATGATAAAGGACTGTTATGAAGGTTCACTGATTGTAATAAATGTAGCAAATGTGCTGCTCTGGTCCAGGATGGAGAAGGCATACATGTGTGGAGTCAGGATGTCTATGGGGACTCTACTCTCCATTCAGTTTTGTTGTGAACCTAAAACTACTCTAAAAGTAAAGTCTGTTTTTAAAAATGATAAAGCCAATGCAATCATGTTAAATGCTATGGAAGAAAGATTATAAGCAGTGTAGAAGCCCAGAGAAGAAGGGCTTATTCAAGCCTAGGGAGGTTTGAAGGAGACTTTGTAGAAGTAGTGACTTCTAGACTGGGATTTAAAAGGCAAGTAGAATTTTACCTGTAGGAAGGTACAAGACAAGAATTACAGGTAGAGATAGAGAAGTGAGGGTGAGGGAGTGGGGGAAGGGGATTAAAAGGAAGGCAGGAAATTGGCAAGAGGACGAGGAGGTATGACATACCCTGTGAATGAATCCCTTGTAATTCTGACTGAAACTAGAGTTTTTAGTAGACACGTAGGTCATCGGACTATTGGGGCATGTTGGAAATTTTAGCCACTTTAGCCATTTTATCAGCCAGACGTTGTCTCAGTTTGCCATTGAAGAAAGTAAGGTAAAGAGAGGAAAGCTAACTGTCCAAGTTCATATAGCTCATCAGTGACAGAGCTGAGCCTCAGATCCAGACATCTGTGATATCAAACTCACGTCCCTGCCACACTGTAAGGAGCGGTGTGGGTGAAACTGAATGTAGATCAGATGTCATTGCCTATCTTTTGTTTTTCCAGGTTTCTTTGCAAGGAAAGAGACCAGAAACTTCAGTCAACTGCAATTCTGTCACATCTTCCATGATGTTTCCCTTGATCAGAAATGCACTAAGTAGTCTGAAGATTCAAAGCATTCGGCAAATTAGGGCAAGACAGAGCCATTCCAAACAGTCACCAGATTTTCATGACAAATATGGTAATATTCTACTAGCCGGTGGAGCCACTTTCTGTCTTGTTGCATGGGTGTTTACAACCACACAGATTGGAATAAAATGGAACCTGTCCCCTGTTGGCAGAGTCACTCCAAGAGCGTGGAATGATGAGTAACCATCAAAGTTACTGTAATACAAGGTTGTTTCAAAATCAACTTGTCATTTAAGTACACTGTTGCTCATTTGAATACAGCATAATTGAATAAATAAAATGCATTTGAAACCTTTGGAAAGTCATTGAAAATAGTCATTATAGTGCCTGGAAGCAAGGCAGTAGCAGTGGGTATAGATTACAGGGGATTATGAATAATAAATATTTGAAAGTATTATTAACGAGCATGTATTTTTCTGGCTCAGTGATTTACTCTGGGTATCCGTCAGTAGATATACACATATATGCAGTTTACAAATTAACTTAATTGTCTGGCAAATCCTATTGACTCTTCCTTTAAAACATATTCATAATTGACCATTTTTCACATCCTTTATCTTCCCCTCCCTGATCTGAACCACCATACTTTCACTGGAATTATGAAAACTTTCTAGCTCTTCTCCTTTGTTTTACACTTGACCCCTAAGCCTACCCTTCCCCTCTGCCCTCCCCCACAATCTTTTTAAAGCACAGCAGTCAGAATGATTATTTAAAACATTAGTTTAGTAATATCACCCCTCTTTTCAAAACCCTATGACTTCCCATTTTACTCCAGAGCTAAAGCTGAAGTCCTTAGAGAGGTGCACAGGCCCCTTGGATGCTGCACTGCTCAGTTTCACTCCTGCATCAGGACTTGCATTTGCTCCTCTCTGCTTGGAATGCACTGCCTCCAGATCCTGGATGACTCACTCCACCATACTCTTCATGGGTTTGTTTGCATATTATCTTTGCAGAGGTCTCTGACTACCCTTTTTAACGTTGCAACCCCTTCTTAGACCAGGGTTTGTCTATCCTGCTTACTTGCTTTATTTTTCTCTATAGGATTATCATCTTCTGATACAGGATGTATAGTATTATTTATTGTCTATATGCAAAACTCCATTAAAGCAGAGGTTGGGGACTGTTTTTTGGTTTTCTTTTTTCCGACTATAGGGCCTGACAAATCAGGTCTTCAGTAATTATTGTTTGAACTAATAAATTATTGGGATAATTCAGAGTCCTTATTCTGAAAATAATGAATTTGTTTACCACTATGGGTTTTGCAATGATTATTGGAGGATATATTAGTTATCTATTGATATTTTACAAATTACCTTAAAACTCGATTGCTTCAAACAACAAATTTTTATTATCTTACAGTCTGTGGATCAAGAATCTGAGTATGAAGTAGCTGGATGCCTCAGGATCAGGATCTTACACTTCTGCAATCCAAGTGTCAGTCAGGGCTGTCATCATTTTAAGACACAACAGGGGGAGGATCCCTATCTCAGTTCACTCATATGGCTGTTTACTGGTCTCAGGGCCTGGCTGGATTTTGGCTGCACATGTCAGTTTCTTGTCCTGTGGGTCTCTCCGTAGGGCAGCTTACAATATAACAGAGGAAGAGAGGGTGCCCAAGAAAGAAGCGACAGTCTTTTTGTAACCTAATCTTGTAACTGACTTTTCATCGCCTCTACCTTATTTTATCCACTAGAAGTGAAACACTAAATCAAGGCCATGCAAAAGGGGAGGGGATTATACAAGATCATGGTTGACTCAAGGCAGGGATCACTGGGAGCTGTCTTGTGGGTGATACCACAGTTGGCAGTGGAGACCACCTCCTCCTCCTGGATGATCAAGTCCGAGGTAAGTGTGCTGTTGCTCAGGCTCAAGTAGGTATTGATACCATTATTCTCTGGATAAAGGATATTACATATTCCACCCCATTTTTAATATGTGAGAATCCCTCTAGGATCCTTTGTAGGTGTATAATGCGTAGGTCCGAGAGAATACTCATTTTCAGCTTTATCAGTATTGCTAAGTGATTCCCCAAAGTGGTTAGTTTACCTCTTATCAGAAGAAGTGTGCAACTTCCTCCTGTTCCACATCCAAACTCTCTTACAGTTTTCATACATTTTAATATTTGCTACTTTGACAAGCGTGAAGTAATAGCTCATGTTTTAATTTGTGTTTCCCTGATTACTAATCAGGTCAAACATCTTGTGTTAGCTTTTTTGTGTTTTGAGGTTTTTTGTTCGTATGATCTTTCTGTTAGTTTCTTTTGCCATTTTTTTTATTCAGTCATTTGCCTTAATCATTAGTAGACGTTTTTTATATATTCTTCATACAAATTATATCAGCCAGGGTTTAATCAGAGAGGCAGAAACAGTATGAGTAGTACAGAATGTAGGATTAATTATGGGAATTAGAACTGAGGCAATGGTGAGAGCTAGCAGAGAAGTTTTACAAGGCTATTGCCTTTGCATCTGGTACTCAGTTCTCAGTAAAGAAGGAAAGCTGAATGTGAAGTAAGGGAGAGCAAGGGCCAATATGAATTGGGAAGGATGCACTGGAATCATGAACATAAACTGGAACCTGTGTCTGTTTCTCACTGTCTCCAACTAAGATAACATGTATGAGTTATGGGAGAAGTTGGTGCCTTTCATTGTAGGATGGCGCATTCCCCTGGCTTAGGACTCAAAAAAGCTGAAGAAGAACAGGTAGGAGTTTAAATAAAGGGCCCAGGTGCTGTTCCTTATCAATCCAACTAGAGGATCAATAAGAGCAAACACGAGCTGCCGCAGGGGCTGGTGTTGTACGCCAGCCTTGGGTAACGTGGGTGCTGGCTCACGACCGCCATCCCTGTCTCATGCATTTCTCTCTTGTGGCCAATCCTAACCTGAAACCACAGAGGGAAGGAATTCTGGAAAAAGTAGATGGATATCTATGTTTTAGCCATGGGCTAGTTAAGTGACAGGGAAGCCATCTAAAGTGAAAATAGAAGTAGAATCTGCTTCTCTTGACTTTTGGTCTATTGCTCCATTAGGAATTTTACATGATTTTTAAGAAAAGACAGCCCTGATCTTATCCCATGCGATGATGGTAAATTGATAAATAAATGTTGTGGCTGAATGCCAACTATTGGGATTGGAAATGTAAAGAATTAGGCTGGACAATAGGAACAAAAGGGTGATGTGTGTTTGATCAGTCTAATTTATGTGCAGTGACTTTAATGGGATTTGAACATGAGGTCCAGTATTTACTAGTTCTTGCTTCGTGGCACAACCATATAGATAAGCTAATAACAATGAAAAGAACTATCCCAAAAAACTATAAATTCTGGTCTCAGGTATAAACAATAAATAAAGAGATATCTCTGTGTCAGAGTTTTCACTCACATACTTAACTGATGTCACAGATGCACAGTGTACCATCTTCAAAAATCTGACGTAAGAAAAGTGGAGTGGAGATTGTAAGCTAGTTATTAGTAGCCATTGTTAAAACAGATCTCAATAGAGAATTCCCCCTTTACAGAGAGTTTTCTGCTAACTTTAGAAATTGTTTAAGTATCAGGGTAGTTCCTCATCTGTTACAAGTATAAAAAATGGCATAGATGTACGACATACATCATCAAATCTTTCATGTTTTGCAGTAACAGCAGTTGCTTTCCTGGGGGATGACATTAATTTGAGCAGTATCTCTTATTTTCCAATAACCTTTTACATTACAAAAAAATCTGCAACTTCATTTTCTTCGCCTATCTGGAAACCATAGAAACCAATGTGAAATTATAGCTAAGAAGTTCGTCACTGGGCTATCTCAAGCTGATCTCCATGGAAACATTTCACATTTTCTTGAAATGAAAGATCTTCCAATCAGACACACAACCATAACTGATGGGTGTCTGATAAATATACCAACAACAACAAAAGTGTATGGATATTTTATTAGATAATACATTCAGGAGTTTTAAAACTACTTTACAAATGAAAATGTTTAAATGGTAAGATGCCAACTACAGGGAAAATGCAGTTTTGAAAACAGTGTTCCATCACTCTATTTAAATATTATTCTTTCTAGATTCTTGCATTAAAGGCATCTTCCTAAAATAGGAAGTTCTGACTTTGAATTCAGAAGTATCTATATTCAGAGCCTAAGTGTGCCCCTTAGCTAACTGGCTCATCTCTCCCATTGTTTTATTTATAAAGTTGAGGGAAATAATACCTGATTTACAGATGTTGTTTGCTTGTGAGTTAAGCTAAATGCTTAATAAGCAATTATAAATTTGTATCTGGTTAAATGAATAAATAAGTGATGGAAGTATTGATGAGGATGAGGATGAGGATGGTGTTGGGGAGGAGGATTTCAGCCCTTTAATGAATGATTAAGAGATAGTATTGTTCTAGGTGATAGACCGTAAGTAGGAATGTCATGATGTCTAATGTCAAGAGCTTTGACTATGATTTGACTTTGATAATACAAAGACTGTCCGTAGTTCAAAACTTGAATGATCTCCAAAAATTTATTTTTATCATTGTTGTTTGGAGCTTGGGTCACATGAATGGGGTAGGGAAGGGGCTTAATCATATTAAAGGAATAGGCCCTAAAATAAGCCAGTAAGGTGAAAATCATATTTTCAAAATTATCTTAAATTGCACATGAAATTCAGTATGCATTTAATGTAGTGTTCTGTTATACATAGTATGTATACAGTCAATATGCCTTTACCAAGACATATCCATGGCAAATATAATTGTATAATAGACCCCCACAGAGTGTGAGGATGTGCTTTTTTGTGAGAGCAAAATGAAGCCAAGAAACCACTGAGGAACACATAGACTTACTGAGCAGAACAATAGATGGAATGTTCAGCCTCCCCTGTATGAATTCTTTTATCTTTTTTTCTCTGTCATTCTGTGTCTATGTCTCAATCTCTTAATTTCTCTCCTCTCAAAGTTTCCCTTTCCTCGTGTTTTTGTGTCTTTGTCTCAAAGCCCATACAGTTGAGTGATTAAATTAAATACATATATGATGTGACTCCACTATGTTACTATGGAAACAATATTAAAATTAAGCAGCTTTTAAACTGTCTCTGTAACAGCACATGCTGAATAGTGCACGGCAAACTTCTGTGGATGTATTCAGAATTTTATTTTTTCAAAAATAGGGAAAGAAAGCAATAGGAGCAAGCATTTATTTTGTGGGTTTAAAAGTCATGGGTATTCCTAAATCTATTTTAAGCACACGTCATTTCATTGATTATAGAATTTCTCAAACTGTTTTTAAGGAAATAACTAAAGATTCATAAGTCATATGATAATTTATATTTACCTCAAATATGTTAAATGACTATACTTTTAAAAAAATTGCTTACCTCAGGTTAAGATAGGTTTCTGGTTATGTTACAATTTCAAG